ATATATGACATTATGTATAAACATATATATGTATGTACATGTGACATTTTGTATAAATTATATTATATAATCTATGACATATATTAATACAGATAAAAAATATTTACATAAGCCTTACTAACAGGTGTCGATGGATGTATATGTAATCATATTTAATATAAATAATAATTTATATAATATAACAATATTATACAACAAAATGAAAATAATTATCAGGTTTATTGTGCTCAAGAGTTAACAATGACAGGGGTTGGGTGGGGTTGTAGCTCAGCAGTAGAGCATTTGTCTGGCATGTGTTTGGCACTGGGTTTGATCCTTCGCACCACATAAAAATAAATAAATAAATATCCAACTACAACTAAAACATATTTTAAAAAGTTAATAATAACAGGACTTTAATATTTTTTTTATTTATTTACCAGAATTTTCCTTATTCTTTTACAACTAAGGGGATTATAATGAGATGGCATATTAGTAATAGATAGGTAGTTTACCTAAAACAGAATAAAGATTATAGTTAGAGAAATAGGCTGGTAAACAAATTCTCCCATCAATTAGAGTATCCAAATTCCTGATTTTCAGTAAAGGAAGCACAGATCAAGAGAACCCAACTATTTCTTTGGATCATAAAATACTGCCCTGTAGATATTATGGGACCAATATCCTGGTTCTCAAGCTATCCTGATTTAAGCTATTTTCATGCTTGCTACCAAAGCAGAATAGGGTGCAATGTAGGGCGGCAGTGAGAGGAAATGCTTCAGAATCCTCATCTCAGCCTGCAAGAAGATGCAATCTGACAGGTTACCACACCAACCAAGTTGTCTTTCTGAGTATTTATGTGAATATGTCTAGAAGTTAATATAAGCATGTGACCCAACATTCTTTTTGCCTTTTATTGATACATCATATTTATAAATAAGAGGGGGGTTAATTTTGACATATCCATACAAGTACATAGCACAGCATGAGCAATTTTATTCCCAAATGTCTTTTCTTTCCTTCCCTCCCCACCAACACCATACTAATAACCTCCAGGTCTCCTATGTTTGTTAAGTATTTAGTATTCTAATCAATTCTGTGTAACTTTTTGTTTTTCAACTTAGCAAAATATGCATTTCTTAAATTCAGATTATGACTTGTTTTGTGGTCATAATGGATATTTTACTCACAAAGGCTCTTAAAATGTTGTCCTATATATTTAGGGAACATGGTTTCATTACCACTGCTGTTAGCAGAGGGAAAAGTCATGTTGAATACAATTGGTGAGAACTGCTGTCCTAAGCCATAATATTAACTTGATCATAGCTTTTCAATTTTTAAATTAATTGGCATCATAAATTGTGACAGTATAATATTTCATATGTGCATTTGTTTCATATGTGGCTAGAATTCTGTCAACAAAGTGATTGAAGCATGGAGAAATAAAAAAAAAAACTAGATAGTGAAGTGTTTCGACTTAAATAGTTATTCTACAGCTATTAACATCTGAATATATAAAAATAACCAAGTACCTATATGTTTATAATATTCAGAGATTATACAGTAAGTGGACTTTATCCTTATAATTAGATTATTTTCATTATTACAATAGTTATCTAGGATTAGTGTAAAAATTAAAATCAGAGTAATCTTACTAATATTTTATGAGAAGTTAATCACCCAATATAAACATAGATACTGTGTAAATATTATTTTCATTAGTTTTATTAAGCATCAGCCTAATACATCAGACATTTTTATACATCAGAAAAATTTAACAAGGAACCCAGTAAACAGAATTAACTTTCTTCCCTTCTATACCACTTGTGAATCTTGACATAATTGTTAGCTTCTTGTAAGTTTCATTTTCTGCATCTATAAATTGAGATATTATCACACAATGCAGAATTATAATAAGGAACACAGAAACATTATGAAAACACCTTAGTCTCATACATGATTAACAATCACACATTAATTTTATCTTGGGTTTTGTATGAGCAGTTTCTGACATTGCCATGCACACGTAACATAACAAAACAGATATACTGAGGGTAATAAGGAGAAATTTCCGTTTCAACAACCCATTGCTAAAACTAAAATTACTGTGAGATTTTTTTTTTTTTTTGGTTTGGGTATTGCTAGTGACTAACATAAACTTTTTCATGCATTTTAAAATTATACTCAAATTATTACTTGATTTCTTTGGTAAGGTTGAATACAAAGTTTACATTCTTCTTGATTTTACTAACAAGATAATAAAAATAAATGCTCTTATAACTTCAAATTTGCTACATCTGGTATCAGAATACAACATGCAGTAAACTTACCTTAGATTAATCTGATGATTATAATGCACTTTAATGTGGCACGTTTTTTGAAAGTTGGGAATAATTTTTCCTGTTTGAAGATGTCAAAGTTAAACCAGGCTGTTCAGAATATGGGTAGGTATGTAAAGCACTAAGTTGGGCCTCAATGAAGTTCACTGCAACTTGAAGATTTTAATGAGATATTTGCCTCACCTATTCTCCTTTTCATCTGTTGTTCTGCTTGTGAATAATATGTACTAAAAACTTAAACTAGATATCATGTTTTCATAGTAATCAAATTGCCTTATATCGTGAAAGAAATCATAGTGTTCAATAAAGCAGAGAAAAGAGATAGACAGGGTGGGTGAAAGGCATGAGAAAGTACTGGAAACACAATCTATCACATTATGCTATGTCCCTTCACACAATGAATCCCGCTTATATATACAATGTTAATGTAGTAATTAAAATAATGAAAACCGTAACTGATGGGAGATCAGTAGAGTAGTGCAAGTGGTTCATGCAGGAGGTGAAAGGAGGTGAAAGAAAAGGAAGGTACTGGAGAAAGAGAGTCAACACATTATGTTGTCTGTATGTATAATTACAATGCACCAATGAAAATATTCAAGAAATTATATTCTTAAGAATAAAAATTAAATACAGTACATTTAAAGAACATGTATAGCCTCCATAGCAGTGTCATGGGTAATTCGCAGACCATCAAGGCTGATTCACTGTCAGGATAGCGGTAGACTGGGTGAGGAAGGTTGCTTTCCTGCCAATTCTTCTCAAGGTCTCTAAATCTAATAGCATACAGAGATTTGCAAACACATTTAGGTTAATTCTCTCTAAGCACTTCTGAATGTTAACAGTCTTAAAATCTTTTGTAGGTTTTCATCCATAAATATCCATTAATCATTAAAAATGCAAGCCTCACAGAACAAAGAAATACATTTTGAATTTCTCAGAAAAGCAAATGCCATTTTAAGTCTTAGGAGTGATTCATTTTATACCTATTCCTGATGAAATTTTGGTTCAGAAGAGCAGAATTTAAACTTTGTGACAATATAAGAATTAATAGACGCAAACTCTAAGAACATGCATTCCCAGAGGCATAAACAGATATTCATCAAGTGCCTCTGAGCGGCTGTCAGAGGCAATGCCCTCGTGCCTCTGTGCATTTACTGGCTGTAACTTTTCTTTTCACCTACTTTTGCCTGGATCAACTTTGCTTCTCTGGAGAAGACAAGATGCTGGTTACACAGGGCACTTCAGGAAATTCTGCCTGCTTTATGTTCATCTGCATTCTGAAAGAGGGAGGGAAACAAAGCCTCTGGAATAGTAGTAGGTTATTTTCCAGGAATATATGAGATGGGAATGAGGAGGAGCAAAGAGAAGCAGAGATAGGAATTTGTCATTCCAAACGTGGATTGTTATCAACAGTAATATCCAGGCTTAATGTAGATTGTTCAGTGAAATTGGTGACAATCAATATCAGGACCAAGACCTAACTTCTCTTGCCAAGAACATTCATGTGACTCATGGCTATGGTGTGGATGATAGAACTTAAAAGATAAAAGTATTCCATGATGTTCCCCATGCATACACCAGGGTGAAAAAAGTATATCATTAACGCCAACATACTGATAGTATGAGAGGATAACCACACTCATTGCACATTAAAAATTTATTCATTTATTTACTTTCATTTTTAATTTTGAAGGAGAGTCTTGCTAGATTCCCCAGGCTGACCTCAAACTTGCCATCACCCTGCCTCAGCCCCATGAGTAGCTGGGATGTCATGCACACTGAGCCAGTCTAAACTGGGTAATTTCTTAGTGGGAATATGTAGAAAGTACAAGACTTAGAAACTTAGAAATTCACTACCTACTTTATGTGTTCTTAATGATTATTTTGTTCTTAATCGAAATTCTGCTTACATATAATACTCAGTAAGTTTTAAGTATGATAAAACTTTTTATAGTAAAAATTATCATATGCTACTAAGGTGTTCAAATACTCATAATGAAATTTATAGAATCAATGACAAAAGCACATTCTCACCCCAGCACAGCGGGTGATGGGACTCCCCACAACCAGAGCAACACAGTAATACACTGACCATCAGGTCTCACTGCCAGGTTGGACTTATGTGAAGATCAGGAAATGTTCAGCCCCAAGATACTCATTTGAGCAATGTATCTCAGCATCAAAATATACAATACATTTAAGAAAATTATACAGTAATTCAATTTACCAACATTAGCATT